TGTGTGTGTGTGTGTGTGTGTGTGTGTGTGTGTGTGTGTGCATATCAATGCTTCAGTATGCATGTGACTGCTCGGTTGTTACATTGAAAGCTATTCTTGGGCAGAAAAGTGCTTCAAACAGCTTCAACGTGCAAATACAGTAAATCTAGGTTTGGGTTTGTTGACACCTTCAGTCGTTAATGTTCGGTTTATGAATATTTGGCTTGCTGCTCCATGAATAATAGCCATTTTTATGTGTGTGTTGCATTAGTTATTGCTGTTGTATGTATGTGTTAGAGAGGGGGGGGAGGGACAGGCTCCACTGCTCCAGCTTTAATTGTGATCTTATTAGTCTCTGGTCAATACACCATCGCATCCTGACATTAAAGAAAAAAAACAAGTGCCCCTCCTTCCTTTCGTTCCTCTTTCCATTCTTCTCCAATCCCTGACTTTTCCCCCTCATCTCAGTTGCACTTCACTTCACAAGACAAAGAGTGTCCGTCTGACTCTCGGTCCTGTGGTGCTTTGTGGTGGATTGCTTTGACCGGGCCTGCTTGCATAATTGAAGGAAACTGATGAATTTGGATAATTCCTTGATTAGATTGCGCTGCTCGGCTCGAATACAGAGCAGGGGTCACACTGATGCATTAAGATTTTAAAGGGAATATTAAAATGATAAATGAATAGATGGAGTGGGTACACAAAAAGAAAGACGGGCAAGCGTTGTTTTTCTCTTTGCCTCGGCAAAGAAACGGTGTTTATGGACAAACAATTATGTAAATGTGAAGAGCTGATTTGAAGTATGACTGCATTTGTCCACGATAGACAGCCCTGTGTCTGATAAAAGAGATAGCGGGGTACAGATGCAGTGGCTGTAACTCAGTTGAGAGATTAAGGGAGTAATTCTGTCATTGCTGAAGGCGGTTTCTTTGAGATAATGGCAGATACAGTGCAGAATCTCCCTCACAGGAAAAATCAGATGCAGTGCAGTATCTAACAGCAGAATTGTGAATGTAACACACCTTGATACACATGAACAAACACACCCTCTTTTTCGCAAAGACATATTCACAGACAGGTATTGATGGTGTCTTGTGTACTTTAATCACCTCAGTATCCAGGGATCGCGTTCTCAAGCATGCTCTGTTTTTTCATTTGATTCAACAAACCCTCCTTTTCTTTTTTCTTTGTCTCCCTACACTCTTAATAATCCATGTCATATGTCACGCTTATGTGTGTATGGTGTGCAAGACCGTTTGCGCGTACATTTATTTGCAAATATGTTCTGTGTGTTTTTAATGTCCACACTATAGGTACGACCAGGGAGGATACGCCATCGACAGCCAATCCCTGACTGAGACGAGGTCAGTGGGCAGCGGAGCAAGGACGAACTGGAAAACGCTGAGCGACGTCAAGAATGAAAAGCTGGGACACGGAGAGAAGGTGCAGTGGATGCATACACGGCACATAGCAGTGCGTGCACGCAAGGCACATAGCAGTGCGTGCATACTTTTGTTTGGCCTCGGGTGGAATATTCTGTGTTAAAGTCTGCACGACTCTCACTGATTCCTCTACACTAACTATTTCACTTTATTTCGTATGGCTTTATATGACTTAAGTTTTGAGAGAACAGGGGATCTACAGTAGATCGTCTGCATTGCAGTATTATTTGGATCTCTGAGTCGGTTCTTCATGAAATAATTTGCCTGGAAGCAGGTTGATATGAGAGTCAGAAAATCCTTCTTTCACTTGGGCAGCTGGCTACTGTTTGAAGACAAATGGAGAAAAAAAAAGCAACTACAGGTGACGTAACATCAGCATAGCTACAGCACAACAGAGTTTGATAGCAGAACATCGTTCAGTAAACACGGGGTTTTGGGAATCAAAGAGTTAGAGCTTTGCTGTTTAAATCCAACGTTTTGCAGTAACACAGGAACAAATCCATCATGTTGACGGACTTACGACAACAGTGTGACTCTGGCATTTTCTTGACATATTTCACTTGCATGCTCTGACTATGGGTTATGCTTTGTCTAGCCGCACATACAGTACAACCCACAGCGGAATTCATCTCGAAGCATCTCCGAGAAGTGTAAGAAATTACACATATGGACATCAGGCAAACATTATACGGGGTCATAACGCTTAACAGTTTAACGGTCTTTGTTTAGCCATACAGAGATTACGCTGATGGCCTCTTCTTTAAAACCAGAGAAGATTTTGTGTGAACAGACATTTGTCCGTCTCGTTTGAATGTATGCGTTTAGTCAAACATAAATCCACAGCCAGTCTTCCATTCATTGTAAATGGAGCTGTTTCAGGCTGTGCCTTTCTTTGACTTCATGGATTAGAGTCATGGTTCCCTTGTTTTAGCTGTGGGAGAGAGATAGTGATGCTCACATATTCGCAGGAATGGTTGAACTGCCACATGCTGTTGGAGCGTGTGAGAACTCTATAAATTGAACCTTGTGCCATTTTAAGAAGTGTCAAGGCACAGAATAATGCAACGCTTTCAACTAAAAGTAGAGTGAATGGAGGTCGTACACTTTCCATCTAATTAATTAGGTTCATCTCCGACTAGTCTCCCTCATGTTAAATTGGAAGCCACTTACGGGGAGCTTCAAGATCAATGTCGTTTCTGATGAAAATTTCTAATTATGTGTTGGAGTTGAGGAAGCCTATAGGGCATAACATTACCAGAAGGGAAGTAGTGCAGACTGAGAATGTGGGAGATGGGAAGAAAATCAATGCACTTAAACTTCATGGATGGAAGAGAACAAGGCCACAGGAAGAAAAAAAGAATTAAAAGAGAGTGAAGAGTGTGGTAAGAAAGAGAAATGTCGAGGGTTATTTAGAACGGATACACAGGAATGGTTAACTGGCAGATTTAAAAATGAGAATGTGTTAACAATTAAAGCACAGATTATTTTTTTTTACCTTCACTTATTCTCTTTGTCTCGTCTTTTCTCTCCCTGCCCTGTGCACCCCGACCGTTCCTGTAACTGAACGGCTTTAAGGAAGAGGTTGTCTGTCGCACACTGAGGCTGCTGCTTCGATAATAATAATGGAATCCAAATCATCAGCTTATACTTTGAAGGAATCTAATTTGACATTCTACCTGTTTGCCTCTACGTGTATGTACAAGCCATTTCTAATTAGTGTGTGTGTGTGTGTGTGTGTGTCGGGGTTTTGGGACGAGCATTAAAGTTGGCATGTGCAGCCACGTCAATTATGTGAAGTAGATTTTCACTTGGTTGCCCTTCCACATACAAAATTTAATTGCATTTAGGTGCCAGAAGGTGACACAGTGGTGTGATAAGAATGAAAACTATTTTCAGACTGTTAGGTTTGTGTGTGTGCATGTGTATGAATCTTTAGGTAAGTCTTGCACATATTTTAGTGTTTTTGGTCTGAGCGTTCTCTGTGTGCAGCGTTAGTCATGCCGCTCTTCTAGGTTCTCCTCGGTGTGCTTAAGGGTTAAGACTTCGCCCTCAGGCTTCTGTGTACACACTGGAATACAGAGGGAGACGAAAGAGACACAGAAGAAGAAAGGGAGAGATGACAAATGAAGGGGTATTCATTTTGAGTGGTCTACTTGTGATGGAAGCGCTACGGTCCAGATCCTGCTGACCTCTATCCTCACGTTCTCTGTAGCATCTGCCAACATCACGAGCCTTCAACAATCCCCCAAAGAAAGTGTCCAGTTCTGTTCTGTTCTTCCTGCCACGTCCACCCTCCTACCACCTTCCCCGCCCATCGCTTTCCCACCTCTTCAGCCTCCGAGCGTCTCCAATCTGCCCAAGTCGGCAAAATGTGATGAGGCAGGCACGCGGGCGGAAACATGGGAGTGGAGTGTTGTCGGGGATTGAGGGGGTGATGGCTGTTGCTCACGGGAGAAATTCTCCTAATTAAAAGAAGCTTCTTAACAAGTGTTTCCGGGGGTTCACGCTGTGTGGCACGGGCACTGGGTGGATAGATGCGTGGACAGATTATGAGGATGTGAGTCAAAGTTAGCTAGCGGGAAGAAAGTGTCGTCGAGCTCTAAGTCTGACTGACAGTATCTGCAGAGGTCGTGGGGACACAGGACAACATCAATCATCTCACGCGGGATGCAGAGAACACAATGGCCTTTTCACATTCGAAGCTCCTGCTGAACACTTTACAGAAAGTGTGGGTTGTATAACGGTGGCAGTGTTGCTCAGTCAGTCAGTTTGTGTGTGTGTGTGAAGTTGGCCAGCGTCCTAGAGAGTCTTTGATAGACTCATTTAGGCCAACATTAGTAATGAGTCTGGCCCGGCGCTCGCTTGTAGTTGTTGTTTTAGAATGCATTTTAAATGCTGGCTGTGATTCCAACGTCTTGTTCAAGGCCTGCTCTCCTGGTACAAAGAAATACCCTCTGGTGAAGCTTGGAAAAGGGATTTTTTTCTTTTTTTGTGGTTTCTTACATGTATATTTTATTTGTATTTTACAGTGTTGTGCTTGTTTGTATCCGTATGAGTGTGTGTACATGCAGGCGTCTACATGTGCGCGCCTCTTCCCAATGAGACACAGTTCAACTGCTGTGTGCATTCTTCTTATTTATATTTATGGTAATTGAATGCTGTGCTTCTCCACAGGATGAGGGAACAGCATCTTCTCCTCCCCCCCCCCCCTCCCCCCCGAGTTAGCATTTCTTTCCTTTTTAGCTGTTGATTTTACACAGTGTGAGTTCTGCCGCTTTAGGTGCTAATATCTGTTTGAATTACCGCAACATCGCTGCATTTTAATTTGATTCTGTTTGACTGTTTGCGCTTTAATTTAAATTCATAACTGAAAGAAGTTTAGCCCATTGTATCTGTATTGCAAATGTGTACGTTTTGGCCTTTGCATATAACCGTGTGTGTGTGTGTGTGTGTGTGTGTGTGTGTGTGTTCGTGCGTACATTAGCACAATTTATGTGTTCGAGAGGGAGAAAGGGATTTGTCTCATCTTGCATCTATTATGCATGGAACTCTCAAACTCCCTCTGCTCTCTTTTTAAACCGTTCCAAGATTGTTTGGAAGTCAAATAGAGATGTGTAAACAGTGTGGACTGACTTGTTGGCAACAGTTTTAGTGATGATACAAAGTTTTTTTTTAAAAATTGTATTTAATGTTTCTCTTTTCACCCTAAGCAGCTTATTTATTCACATTATTAAAACTGTTGAAGGATTTCCTGCCTTCACTAGAAGCAGCACTTTTGCTCTTCCTCTTCTCTTCCTCTTCAGTTTGATGGGCTTTGGTTTCATTTGCTGTGTGCTGCAAATTTAAGATATAAAAATACCAATAGTGATCATACAAGAAAATGACAAAAGAATACTCGTACCATTTTTGTTGAGAGCGGAGCAAACTCTTAAAGGTTTGAGTTCACGTTTCTCTCTAATGTTGCGCTGTGTTTGACTTGATTGTCAGGAACCATTCCGACACACTTTACGTACCGATGGCAGCATTGTGTTGTTCACCCGTCGCCTGAAGCTACATGATGGTTATAATGAATGAACATGGCCTGTACAGTTATTACCATGCATGCCATGCATCGCCTCATGTGGTTGAGTGAACTTGTTGGAACTGGAATTCATCAGACCAGACAAAGTTGTTTTTTCAGTTGACAGGTTTTTGTTTTTTTGCTGATGTTTCTTCACCCACTGGAAATGTGTCCCAGTGGGCAGGAGAGCTACCTTCTAATCTGCTGTTGTGCCCCAGCAGAAAGGAGTTTGAAGCTTTGCGTGTGCTGAAATGTATCATCGGACCCAACCACTGTCATGTGATTTTTACCTCTTGTAATGTGAACGAGTGAAACCTCGTTGTGTCCTTGCAGCCTGAGCCACCTAGCGTCTTGTTCATTTAGCAAGATGTAGCCTCCTACATAACAACCGCTTTGATGGGGTCTCTGGTTCCTGTCCATTCATTGGACAGCTTTCTTAAAGATTTGTGCTTTTGAACAGCTTAGCGACATCTTGTGCAGTGCTCGGACTTGTTCTCCTGGCATACAAAAACATGGGTTTTAAAAGTCTGTAAAATCACACCTGTTTGAATCCTTTTGAATGTGTGGGTTCGAAGATGGTACTTCAACCAGTACCGACCAATTCTGTAATTAGTTTTTTAAATAGTTTTTAAAGATGTGCCAGGTAGAAGTGCTCAACGAAAAATGACAAATTAATTTTATGTAAACATAACTGGACTTGATGATAATTATGTGTTGCGATTGCTCATGCAGATTAGTCATAGGGGCATGTGGCATATTACTCATGTGGCCTCTCAAACACAGCCAGAAAGAAGAAGCTGTTTGTCTGTCAAGCGGTTTAGGCTTGAATTCTCCATGCAATTGTTTTTTTTTTATTTCCACATTGACAATGGAAGTGAAAATGTCTTCGTAACACAGTTTCACTCGAGTCTAAATCTCAGAAAAAAATGAATCAGATTGGGTATGTACTGAAATTTTAATGAACCGAAGCTATAAGGCAGTCACAAGCGCTGCTACAGTCATCTTCTGTTTTTAACATCTGCCAGTACTACGAGCAACCGGCAACACATTGAAAGGCTGACAGTTAAACAGGGAAACTAAATGATCCATAACAATGGTACCCTAATTTGTCCTTTATCATCACTTCCTTCCTTCCTGCCGCAGTCATCCTGTGTTTTGTCAATTTACCACATTTTTTGTGACTTGAATTACGCTTTTGAAGGTCAATGTTAATTGGCTGGTGAATCATACTGCTACGTTGTCTTTTCTCCCTGCTCCAGCGGGACGAATTTCACTGTTGCGTTTAATGCAATGTTCTGCTCAGGATTTGGTGAAGGCACGTCATTTGACCAGACCTCTACCTTCAGATTCTCGAAAGTGTAGAATAACATACAATACATAATATTGCAGCACAAACATTTTCTATAATGACGTTTAAATGATTGAAATTAATGTTTAAGGTCTGCTTTGGTAGATTGTTTTCATTATAAGACTTGATTTGCAGGTTAGATTTCTCCTCTGCACAATATTGTCTAAAGGGGCAGCGCCTGCAAATTTACTGCAGCGTCTTAGACGTTGAAATTGCAGCAGTTTGATGTGATTTGGTAGTTTGTTTGTTTTTTTTTGTTTTTTTTTTAATATTTATCTCAATCTAATTCCCATAATTAGATTTTTTTTATTTTTTTTTCTCACCCATTTTTGCTCTCTCCTCTCAGGCGGACTATTTCAGCTGTTTGGCGACACTGCTGTACATTCGTAAGGAGAATTGTCTGTACCAGGCCTGTCCATCTGCAGACTGCAACAAGAAGGTCGTCGACCAACAGAACGGACTGTACCGCTGCGAAAAGTGTAACCGAGAGTTCCCCAACTTCAAATACAGACTCCTACTTTCTGTAAGTGCATAAAGTGCACATCGTTTACGCTTGTTTTGTCACACATGCTGTGCCGCTGACTTTGAGGAAGATTGTAACTTATGTGATCACACACACACACACACTCAAACGTACACACATGAATAATCTCTCGCCCTTTCATCATCTCTCTCTCTCTGTCTGACTCTCAGGCCAACTTAGCAGACTTCGGGGATAACCAGTGGGTGACATGCTTCCAGGAGACAGCTGAGGTCCTGTTAGGTCACAGTGCAGAAACACTGGGACAGCTCAGAGACACAGTGAGACACACACACACACACACACACACACACGGATATGCTACCACACACTGTTTCCTGTAAACCATTTGCCCCGACTCTGTATTTACATTGTTGTTTGTGCTCGTAAGGACGAAACTGCATTCGATGAAGTCTTTCAGAGAACCAACTTCACAACTCACATCTTCAGGAACCGAGTCAAGCTGGAGACGTACAACGTAAGTTGCCTTAAACACGAGCACAATAGAATTTGATGCAATGCAATTTAGTTTCCCAGGAATGAAAGAGCAGAATATAATGACGTACAGTGGTGCTCGTCATTGTCCTGCAAGCTGGGAGAAATGTTTTAATGATCTCTACATGCAGGAGTACTTGACCCTCATTGGTTAGTGTATGTCTGTCACAAATCGTCTCATCGCTGTTCGGAACAAATGCACCAGCAGTGCACTATTAGTAGTTCTGGGAAAATGGACTAAAAACAGTAGATGCTCTTATTTAGGGTCAATTTCACAATCAAACCAAAACGTTGCGACCAGCTGCAGTAAGTAAGTGTGTGTGTTACAGCAGTTCCTTTTTATAACACAGTTGCCTTATTTTAGTTATGTAATTTGAAATTGCAGCACTTAATATTTGTCAAACGTACAAGGTTATTATTGGCTGAAAAAGTAGAAGTTCCTGAAGTTTTTTTTGGTGACTGATGAAGGACTTTTGTTACAACATGATGAGGAGGCAAAGCTTGTGGTTTTTGCTGATTTAGTATTTTGATTTGCACAACGTTTTTATGGATCAGCAGCGGTTGCAGGCAGAGGTGGGAGGGATTCTCTCCAAATAATGAATCGCATAAAGGGGTACAAGGAGCTTGCTTGGTGAAATCCTCAGTCAATACAACAAAGAAAAAGTGAACATTTATTGTTTTATGCGACGCATCCCCTCATCTTGAGCATGATACATTGAGGTGTGGTGTTTTATTTAATAGGCCGTCTGCCTGCCAACCATGAATTTGTAACAACCAGACTCGTCGCCGGTTATTATCTTCGGCTGAACTGCCGTCCCGAGCATGTAAAGCCACTAAACAAGATGCGCACAATGCAATACAATCATAACGCACCGTCAGTCACACAACATGAATCCAAAACCATTTAAATTAGTGTCATAGTGACAAGGGAGTTATGTATCCACCAGTGCATTTTGGGCAACCGAAAACAAATACAGCTGTGGATTCATTTCTCTTAATTAGGCACTAATTAGCATTTAGCTATTGTCTGTCTAAGCCTAATTAGCTTAATTATTCAGTGGCTAATTTGATACTGGCGGCACATGCCGAGAGTCAGTGGAATGATTGAAATGTAGGATGAGCTCTGAACGGTCTGTGTCCCGACCCCAAGAAAACCTCCAAGGAACGCTATGCAAAGATAAAAAAAAATTCATTATTTATAGTCTGGAAACTGATGTAGAAGCCTTTTTGAGGAGAAGTTACACAAAGTTTACGGAAAGTATTGACATTGAAGAGGAATGCTCACTCACAAAATGAAATGGTCTTGACCGTCTGTCTGCAGTAAATGTCAGCGCACCACTGCTACTCACTATTGAACAAAAATGAGCCTGAAGCCTCAGCAGATGCTAGAGGCTGCGATTTTCATTACCGACCACAATAAAGAAGTGTTGGTCATGACAATGCACTAACATACCGATGATTAGTGGTGGAGCTCAAAATACAGTTTGTCTTCATGGCTGCATTACAGGAAGAGTCGTAGGATACAAGTCCGGATGTTCTCTGTAAGTCATCCTCTGAGCATCATGAATCTCTGTGGATTTCTGCACGTAGAAATGCGAATCCAGAGGTGAAAAAGAGCAAAAGAAATGAAATAATCAAGTGAGAATCACTTTAACATAACACATTAAAGGCACAGTGCGTAAGATTTGGTGGCATGTAGAGGTGTAGTTGAAGAATTGTGAATACCCCTCCGCTCATTCCTACTTAGAGCCAGTGTTTGGTTTTGCCCGTTCTGTGCTACCGTAGAAACATGGCAGTGCAACACAGTCAACTGCGTGAAGGGGATCCTCTCCCAAAACAACGGTTCTTCGTTTCAGGATATTATACACCAATTAATACCTTTTTTTTTATGAATATCATATTTCATTTCTGCAATGGGATCACCAGCAATCCTACACTCTGTGCCTTTTTTAATGAATTGCACAACAAGCACGCGTCACTAAAGTCTGTATTTTGCAGAGCATGCCAGTATTTGAAGCAGAGAAAGTGAGGCCGATGCTTTATTTAGGAAAAAGTTAATGCTACACCTCCGCCTCCAAAAATATCTACAGCTATAATCATGAAAATGTGTTTTAGTTGTGTAATTGATGCTGCTGCTCTAAACGATGAAGCTGCTAATCCCGCATCAAAGGTGAGGAGCAGAAGTGTGCCACCAGACAAGTGCTGAACAGCTGTTGGTGACATTTTTAGGAACTGATGTCGATAACGGCAACACTATACAGGTACAAATTCAAATATGTTAGTTTCCTGCACCTTTTTGATTTCTTGGCATATTGTCGTAGTCTTGATCTAAAGCCCAAAAGGAACAACATCAAAATTGATCATTTCAGTATGCCACAAAGATAATGAGGTTTGAGCAGATCCATGTTCTACACGGGGCTTATCAATAGATTCAGGTTTTATTTTCAGTGGGTGTTAGTCAAAGTTTACTGTTTTTGTTTCAAAACTTCTGATTGAAAAAGATGAGCACAGACAGAGTATGTGATCCACTGGTTCAGTGCATCTGTCTACCTGATCTTCAGTTCTTTCCCGTAGACTTTTGAGTGTAACGCCAGACAAAAAAGATCAGACGTCTACCACAGTGTCTTCATAAAAATAGAACAATGACATAATGACATATCAGAGTTTAACAAGATTAATGAAGTAACAAAAGTTGTGCTTTGTCATTTTTCATAACAAGGACAAAGAGAAAGTTTGTTCCCTTGCATAGAAACTCAAGTTTGAATTATTTTCGGGCAGAGCAGAGATGATAAACTACCAATCTACTTAACAAGCACAATGCACCTTAAGGTTTGAGCCATCAGCTATCAAATTAAAGCGCACAAGCCTATAGCTTCATGTTACACAGTTGGTGATAATACAAGACTTGAACTTCATTGCCATTGTGATATACATACATGTACATCTCTACATTAAACCTTTAGGAGCAGTGGGCTGCTGTAAAGCGCCCGGGAAGCAACATAGGGTTCAGTGCTCAAGGACGCTTCAGCATATGGACTGTCTAGGATGGTGACTGAACCATCAACCTTGTGGTTAAAGGATAATCTGCTCCCTCCGCTGAGCCACAGTCGCCCTCCTTCCACTGGTGCAGCAGTTGTTGCTTCTTCTCTTGATACAGCATGTTTGTGTAATAATGACTATCTGGAGGTGTTGGGCACAGGCAATAAGTACAAAAATCAAAACAGAAGATATAAAGGTAGGCACCTTCAGCTTCCTGAAGAAGAAAACATTCATGTTGTTGCACTCAGCTGTTCAAATGAAAGGGTGGAAATAGAGAGCTAAAGGGAGAAGTTCAGGTTCCCTGCCTGCTTTTCTCACTCCTGTCCAACCCTGCGTGAAGTGGACTTGATTGCCATATTGTCTGTTTTGAAAAGATACCAAAAATGTTGGAAGCCGCCCCCCCCCCCCCCCAAGTCAGGCGGCAGAAAGGCCATCCAACAAGCACTTCTGTTGAAGCATACGGGCCCCTTATCGCTGTTGTAGTCCGCGTGAGTCCGGAGCTTTGAAGATTGGAGCGTTTGATGTTCCACACAGGAAGTGATTGTTTTTTTTATGTTTAGGCAGCAGCTCCATCCTTCTGTTTAGACAGAATATGTTTTTGATAGTTGCTGTTGCATGATCGCCACGTGGAGTGATCTCTGAAAGCACACGGTACACTCACCACTGCTAATCACCAGTCATTTTCCACCTTGATAGGTTATGATGAAGAAACAGCTGCTGAACTTTAATGACATCATCTGGTATAAACCTAAAACTGATAAACACACAAATAACGTTTAGGAGGTAGATTAGAGTCTAAACCAATATACAAAAAAATGCAATATAGTATTTAAATATAATTCCGTTTTGACTGTCATGTTTCATTAAGGCGGCGCCCCACAGAGGCCTGAGAGTGGGCAGAGAATCAGCGCTTCAGTGTAGTAGAGGCTCATCTCCTAGCGGAGTTAATGGGATTCAGATGATGGTAATGATCAGATTTGGCCTGAAGAATTGGATTTACTGAGCTCAGATGACTGCATTTTCCCCATAAACATCTTATCTGCATTTGTTTAAAAGGCTACCAAAGATGATTAATGCACTTAGAATTTGGGAAAGTGTATCTGATTTCCAACAAATAACTAGATGCAATATATTGAGTCCTGGTGAGTGTTTGAATCCATTCCAAGCCGGATGGTTGTTCTTTTTGAATATACTGTATTAATAATGTATGTAGACGTATACGGTTTGTGTGCGTGTGCGTGAGAATGTGTCTGAAGTGAATAAATGGATTTAGTCTCAATGAATAAATTAGTGTCAGAGGCAGGCCATTGAGAGCCACACACACTCACTTTCAACAAACCACACTCGTGGTAATCCTTGTCAACATTTCGTCGTCCCTGTGCGCGTGCAAAGGGAGTTGAGAAGATTCTTATATGGCTGAAGGTGAAAGCCACCAGTGTGTAAATGATGCACAGATATATTCCTCGAGGCGGCCGCTCAAAGCCTTTCTGAATGTGAACATTTACATAATTGGTTCCGTTACTTTCTTCTATAACTCGTATCTGACACTGAGCATTCATGACTGGGTGGATGAGACAATTATCAAAGACACTTAACGATACAGCAGCCTTTCAGTATACTTTTGATGACGCTCATTGTGTTTTTATTAAGAAAGAAACGTTAATTCAACTTGACAGTAGTTAATGCCACTCTTTGAAAAGACAATCGGGCTGCTTTATTGTAATCAGTGCTGTTTGTTTATTTTATCCATAGTTTATGTCACATCTAGCGATGGAGCCAGCTTTTAAAGTTGATAAGATAAATAGAAAATGATGCAACTGAAATATTCAGGATACAATAAGACACCGAGTCTACGTCAGCAGCTGTTTGAGGCTGTGCCTATACAGCGGTGCTTTGAGCTACATGCTAACACTGACGATGCTAAGATTCTGGTGTTTAACAGGTAAAATGTTAACTTGGTGTGATAGCATGCCGACATCTGAAGAAGCTGAAGGTATGTTTATAGATTTGATATGATTCTCATTCACATCGGTTTATTGTATTCTTAAATTTCATGTCATTTCCTTGTTCAGTATCTCACTGATTCTCTGTGAGCCACTAAAAGGTAGGTGTGTGTGTGTGTGTGTGTGTGTGTAGGTGTGTGTGTGAAGGTGTGTGTGTTTTTTTTTTTTTTTTTTTTTTTTTTTTTTTTTTTTTTTTTTTTTTTTAATCTTGTCCGTGTGCCAGCATCCAGAAGTTGTGTAAATTCTTCGAGGAAAAACCCCACGGTCTGAAATTGAGTCGGCGGGTAGGGGTTGAATGTTAGGCCCCTGGGTAATTATTTTTTCCAGATGTGATTGGAATATTACTATCCACGCATTAAATTAACGAGCCGTCGTTCACACAGTTTCCCCTCCTTCGGAAGACCATTATTTTTAAATAAGTTGTCACCTTTCGTCAAGTGGAACCTTTGTCTCGACAGCCCCCCGTATTGTTTAATTTTCCTGCTATCCTCGGGTAGATGCAAATTGAAAATACTAATAGAGGTGTTAAACCACATATAAGATAATGGGCAAAAGTTAACTCCGTGATGCTGGTTATGCTGGCTGAATTTCTAATTGATTAATGATTTGGCGAGTGAGTTTGTAATGGAAATGATCTTTTGGCTCTCTTAGTGAGAAACCGCTGCTTTATGTGATGTGAATTACATCCCGCTGATGGTGGCTGTTCCTACATACAGTACGTTATAATAACTGATTCTCATGTGGTATTAGATGTGTACTCCTACTAAACAAGTTAAATTAGAGCATACTTTTTATTTTTTCTCTTTTTAATTAAAGATAAAAACTGACGGAACATGCTGCTTTTGTGGACTTTTAAAGTGGTACATTCCACCTCTTACACACTGTTCCCTCACAGATTGCAGTCACCACAGAGGTTTTCAAGGTTGTCGAGTTAGAGGCCGATATATAGACCCAAGTTTGTTGACAAATCCTTGAATTCATCATTTGTATCTACAGAGGTATCTGTAGTCTACAGCAGTGGTTCCCACAGTTGACAGCGAAGGACGCTGCAAGATTTATTTATTTCATTATTTGCTTATTGTGCGAATCTTAAGTTTCACCACAAAGTCTTCCATTAACTAAATTCTTTTGCATTCAGAAACATTTCCAAACAGAAGAACTAAGCCATGCATAACAAAATCATCGTATCGTCAGTTTTCCAGGTGTGCAGTCAAAAATAGTGACCGTCCGAGCAAGCGGTATAAAGATTTGTCCATATTAAAACAGCTCAAAGAAATGCTGATACAGATGTTGCCTATGAAATTCCTACGAAGGTGTGCCGTAGTTAAAAAAAAGAAAAGAAAAAAAAAAGTGGGACCACTGATTTACAGAAAGCCAAGAGCAGATGGACCGTTCAGTACTCCACCGTGTCAGCAGGCTTACACCGCTGACACAGACCATTCAAACACATCCTCTCACAGAGACCTGTTGGTTTCAGTGCTTTCTCTTACAGCATTTATCTCTTGAATGATGCTGATCATAGAGGCTTGACACGTCTGTTCATCAGATGTTGCTGCACTTAACTGAAGATTTTCCTTCCCCTCCTCAGGATGAGAGCCGAGTGAAGGTAACCGTCATGGAAGTCCAGCCACTCGACCACAGGGAATACAGCAGGAGGCTCCTCGGTAACATCCGCAAATTGGCCGGCTGAATATAGTCCCGGTCGTCCACGCGGCTGCCTGGTGATTCTACGGTTCTTCTGCTGGTCTCTGACTGGTGTCCGGCTTTTTCCGACATGGAGCATATCTGACAGAGGCAGCGGGGCGGTCAGTGATTCATCTGATTAAATGGCAGCCGAACAAAAGACTGATATTTAGTTGTTCACTTCAGCGGGCCATTTGTGAAACACTGGAACATGATGGAAATGACTTTTACCATTTTAATTTGTTGACATTTTAACGAGCTTTCGCTATTTGATTACACAGAACTGTGTTTGAGATCTACACACATTTTTATCGTAATTCATGTCATACACGCTCCCACGGTTTTCTCTTTTTTTTATTTCTTTTTTAATACAAATGATTCATCTTTGTTTCAGATCTGTGGTGGTGATGCTCAGTGTTAGTTGAGTGAGACATGGATGAGTCAGATTTGATTTAATTTTCATTGTTGCGTTTTAAATACGAAAGCATGGCCAAAGTGTGCGTGGGAGATTCACGTGTTGGCATTTGTTTTAACTTTCTTACTGACGTGTCTTCAGCTTGTTCAAATTATTCTTTGAATTTAAAAAAAAGTGTTTGGTTTGTTTCTGCACCTCCAAAAATGTCCAAATAAGAAAAGTGATTAAAAGGATGTCGGCATAAGATCAGTGTTCGTCTTTATCACTGTTACACAATCACAACCCAATTTCCCCAAATCCTCCTCACACAAACGTCACATCTTTTGTGTTTCATGTGTGGGGAATAGAAAATGATGCATTGAGGGATTTACTGACCACCCAGCAGCTACGAGCCTCAGTAACTGCACACAAACAAGCCACAATAGATTTCAATCAATTCATTTTGTACTGATTAATCCTTCCAATTCAGTTTATCAGGAGTTATTGATAGATATAGATATATCTATATAT